TTTGATATTGTGTAGGATATGTGATCAAGAAGACGAACAAGGATTTTGATTGTAGCATGTATCATCTTGTAGGATACTGTTGCACGATGTAAAATTTTATAGGATGCACTACGCAAAAGGAAAGCCAATCTTGCTATCTTCTTGCAAAGGTAATGGTGTTTTCCTAAATCATTTTTAATAAGTTTAAGATAGTTTTCTATTTGTTTGAATGATGCCCTGTAAATTAACAACTATTTCAATGAATACAAGTTGGATCTTTTGACAATTTAAATGTGTCGTGTGTGTATATTATATGTTTTATGCTTGCTTACATGAAAATTGTTTGGGAAAAGTCATAGAAACGGGACATAATTATATTGACTAAAGAAGGGCAAAGATATATGCAGGTGGAGAAGGCCATGATTACAAATAAAAATATACACAAGCTATATGAACTACTACAAGAAGGGCAAAGAAAATTTAAAAAAGTTACAAAAGGATAAAGCAAGAGAAAAGGAACGATAGGAGGCTGAAGGAGAAAAGTTTAATAGGAAACATGATTTTATGACAATGCCCACAGTGGACTACTTTTTAATTCTTTGGGTTTAATCAAAATTTTATTTGATTTGTTTATTTGTCTTGGTATAGGTGTGTATATATTTTTTGATTGCTACTAGTTGTTATGTCGATCTTCAAGTAGGGGTTTGTAGTATTGGTTTGGTTTTATCAGATGTTTGCGGCCATTGTGATCTTGATCTGGTTATAGTACTATAGACAATCTTTCTTTGGAATTATAAGAGTTTTTGTGTTTTTAATTCCAATGTTAGTAGCATCAATGTTATAATAAATTATATTTTAGTGCTATAAAACTAGAAACATTTATGTTTGAAAAAACAATTTAATTTCAATTTCAATTTATATTAACAACTTGCAGATTAAAAAAAAAAAAACAAACAGTCTTTTTGTTGCAGACTGCAGACGTTTGGTCCACCTCTTCTTCTACAGATATTTACAGATGTGGTCCGTAGACTGCAGACATTTTACCTATGAAAAAACAAACAACACCTAAATCTAGTTTGAATTGTTATTCTATAGATCTAAGCCCAACCATCATTTGTCTTGTCATAGTCCATAAAATGTGAGCCCAACTAACAAACCCATAAGAAAAACTAAACCCTAATATCCTATCTAAGAGGCACGTGTAAATTTGTCAAACACTTATCTAGTTACCTCACCATCCAAGCACGTCCAACATCTTGAACCAGCCACCATTGACAGCCAATACACCTCCGGCGATTGCATCCCTCCAACGCCACCCTCTTCTCCGGCGGTAAGATTCACCTCCAGTACAACCTTCTACTTCGGTTCCGACGGGCGGCCTTCTTCCCTGAGGAAAAACTGTCCAGTTCACTGGAGGTAGGGGTGTTGATCGGGTAATTTTTTCAAGTTTCGGGTAATTCGGGTTTTTCATGTAAAAAATACCCGTTACCCGACCCAAATTAAATTCGGGTAATTCGGGTATCGGGTCGGGTTTGGGTAATTCGGGTATTACCCGAAATATAATTTTTTTTTTTGAATTTCACCTGAAAATAAATTTAATGAAATAAATACGTCGTGTTTTATTAGTCTTGTTTATATAAACAAACGAGGCATAAAAGAAGTTACTCAAGCTTTGAACATTGAGATTTTTTAGTCAATAATACCTGAGATATCAAGTAAATTTTTTTAACAACTTAATCTAATCTAATAAGATGTTAAAAAAACAAATACTTAAAGATCTTAATTTAAAAGTTTAAAATGTTTAAGATAATTGTAGCCATAAGTTTTGCCATGTTCTGAAGTTTCGTCAAAATAATGAGTTTGTTAGTTGCAATAAAAAACTATAATATAGAAAACAGTTAAGTTTTAAAGAACATGATGATATATAAACAATTACTTTTAATATTGCTAGTGTCATATTGTCATAATAAAAAAAAATTCATGTTTTACAATAATGATAGTTAGTTTAAGCGTGATCAAATACCTGTTACAAAGTACAAGCTCTACGAAAAAAAAAATTAAAATAATTCGGGTAATTCAGGTATACCCGAAACCCAACAAACGAATCCTTTACCCGACCTGAAAACAAATCGGGTTACCCGATTACCAGAAAAAATTTACCCGATACCCGATTTACCCGACCCTATTTACCCGATATCCGAAAAAATCGAGCGGGTAATTCGGGTATAAGGTATTTTCGACAGGGCTAACTGGAGGTATAGCAACTCACATCTACGCTATAGAGCACACTCACCTCTCCACCAAAAAAATATTCTTAACTCCATGTACTCATCGAGATCTCCTCCAAGTTTGGAATACCACCGGTGGCTTCTGAGTTTTTTCTTTGTTTCTAATGAATTCTCATTGCTGTCACTTTAATGTGAGTATGGCTACCTCACCAGAAAACTCGAAAGAGCCATAGGGTACAACTTAAACAGCCTCCTCGACCCCATCTTCACAACGTACTTCCATAACCGACGTGTCATCTCTGTTCCTTCCTCTTCGGCGGAGTTGTCTCACGATGCCCTTGCTCACTCTCTCTAAACTCAATCGATTTCCTTCTTACCTCCCCTATTTGATGCAAGAATTGACTTCTTCTCCTTAATGTCTCTTCTTTCTCCGATTTTGGATTCAAGAATTCATAGGAAAACCTTTAAGCGGGCAAGAGGGAAATTATAAAGGCATGGAATCCGTTCTCTTTCGAAGCTATCACGATTTGAAGGTCCCAGAAGGAGAAAGAAATACAGCATCATCGTTTTCATATGCAGGGGGAAGAAGACAATGCAAATTTTGAATTTGGCAACTTTAGTCCCTCAAATTCAACATAATGACAGAATACACCATGAGTCTAATTTGTCATTTTGTCCTTCGTATTTGACTTTCAGGAAATTGCCAATTAAACCCTGGACTGTATAATCCATAATACTATTATTACTTAATCTTTAATAATATTCTTAATTAATCTTGTTATTTCATAAATCTCATTTTAATTCATTTATCTACATCTATAATTGCTTTTTACTTGCTTCACCTTAAAGCTTGTGTGTATATATATATATATATAATATATATATATATATATATATATATATATATATATATATATATATAGGTAGAGGTTCATTTGAGACCACTTATATTTTGTGAAACATGAGGACCAAATCTTAGCCTTTCATCAAATTTGATATTGTGGCTTATAAAAAAACAGATTAACACTAATTAATCTAACTGATTAGTTAATTAGGGGCAGATTAGTCACTATGTTAAATATAATATCACTACCAGATCTGATACACAATTAGCGTCATATTCACATCGTCCTCAAGAACATCTTCATCTACTTCGTTTCTTCTACCAAAACTATCACTCCTATGTCATCAACATTCCTTAATCTTCTCTTGTAATTGATATTCAATCTCCTTAAATATTCACTTATTTCAACCATATCATCATCTGATTTTGAGATTGATTGATCGAAGAATGATCGTATCCTATCTAAATCATAGCTTCTAAATTCATGATTTTTGTGTTTTTTGAGTTCATATTCTTCATTCTTCTACATCTGCAATTGATAATCGGATTGATTGAGGTTGAAATTCATATATCGACATCTGGGGGTTGATTTTCATCTATCGACATCTGGGGGTGATCACCAGATAGAGGTTATTTTCAACAATATACTTCATCAAATCACATATATCACCGTCAAAATCTAATCGATTTTTAGCACCATAATCATCCACTTTCAACAAAGAGGGTTAGTTTTTCTTCGTTGATCTTTAATTTCAACAATTCTTCATCAAATCACAACCGTTTAGCTGTTTTACATCTATTTTGAGCACTTTCTAGATTCAATTTCTATTTATCAGATTTATGATTCTTACAATTTGTCAAGGTTTGACTTTGAGCGCTTTTAAGGTTTGATTTTGAACACTTTTCAAGCAATGTGTTTTGTAAAATTGACAAGGTATGTGCAAAGTAATTATTGTTATTCAACAAATTCACTTAAACTATACATGTATTCTACCTGTTTGATGAAAGTCCTAAATGGAAAAAGAGTCAAATGTATCACCCCTTCTCATGACTAAATTCTTCTTTAAGAATATGAGTATATTTCCAAAATATGAGTCATAATTAGTGAAAAATAATGCATTGTTGACTTTGTTCTTATAATAATTGACATCATTATTATGTTTAATGTTTTTCATTTTTCTTTTATCTGATCTTTTATAGAAACCAATCTTTAATACAATGACATGGTTTTGTTTAAATCTTATTTTGTAATGAAATTCTTCTGATTATATTAATCGTATATCATTACCCATATGTCATTACATTGTGTGAGTATCTATCAGAGATTCATCATAATTAAGGAAATCACTAGTTCAATATGGACATGAAACATTGTGTATTATTCTTATTGAATATTGTACATACATACAGTAACATCAATTATGATTGTATATATATATAATTCAAGGATTAATCACAATAAATATAAACATTCAGGAATTAAAGGTAATGTTATTTATACATGCATATTATCATGATTATAATTATTATATACCATCACTCATATTTCATTACATGGTGTTATTATCTATTAGTTATTCATCACAATGAAGAAAATCTGCATGCAATGAGGAATAAAGGTTGTGGAACCGAAAGATGGTTAAAGATTATCCTGGAGAAGACTACCGTTCAAGGTCAAGAGAAATCAAGATCATGCAAAATATGTGGCGTGTAAGGTCATGATACAAGGAAATCTTTAACAATGAGCAAAATTTTCAAGGAATAGTTTGCACAATGTTGTCTATATATATTTTTATTTTTTCATACTAGAATAATTGAACAATGCTGTGTACATCTAATTACATTATGTTTTTATCCTTTCGACATCTAATTAGAATTTGACAAAAAAAAATTATGCTCCAAAGTGAGCTTCCTATTTAATTTCACAAATGTATTTATAAATGTTGATTTTAAGAACTTTGATCATTCTCCTCCATTTCACCATCTTCGGTTTCAACCCTTTCTGCTGTCCATTGTTTTTGAGTTTCTTCAACTCTAACTTGCGTTTTTTTCATTTTCTGGCACATTGGTACTTCAAAAAATAGTACCTGAAAACAAAATATTAAACTTCTTTGCCAATTCCATGTTCTATTTTCATTTGGAAATATCGATATACAATTAGAAACAATTTCTTCCATATTCTCTTTTTCTACAAAAACTTTCTTGAAGACCTTTTCAAACATTTCTTCATGTTCCTGAAAAACAATAAGGCACTAGAATTATAAGTATAACTTATTAAATGAAATCATAATATTCAGTTGAATAATAAGTTATGAAGTAACATACGATATATCATATCAGAATAGTAGAATATCAATTATGAACCATAAGCATGTCATATCAGAATATCTAGAATTACAGAAATTAGCAACATACTTTAATCTTTCTACTACTATAAACAATGTACTTTACTTCTTACTCATTATAGCAACATACTTTCATTTCCTAACCAATATAAGCAATATGTAACTTGAACCTTGTAATGTGATAATAAGTGTTAGATTACATCTTGATATTATCAGTTAAAAATGAGTTCTCCATATGAGGTTTAGCAAGTTTAATTAGATACTCACATTCAGCCTACGACTGCTAAATGACAACAGAACAAAGGATTTGACAGTTGCTTAGAATATTTGGAATAAATAATTTAAAACAAATTTATATCCTTAGAATATTGAGAATAATTAACCTAATTATAGAGATAACTGGTTTCAAGGTATGATATTTACATCTTCCGTCGATTAGCCATGTAGACATCAATTTTCAGAAAATCCATCATCAATTTCTCCATTACAGACATCTATTTTCTATATTTCATATCACAACATCGATTTCCAACAATTCATCATCACATCATTTTGCTATTACTAAAGGATTATCAAGAAGGGTTGATTTTCCGCAACACATTATTAAAATGGGAATGAACAGGATACTAACTCTAATATACTAAATCATAAAGGCTAGAATATTCTACTAAAAGCTAATATATAAAAAATAATTCCTAGAATATTTTACTACACAAATCAAAATGACTAGAATAATATGATTTTATAAAATCAGAATGACTAAAATATTGTACTAAACATCAATGTTCTAAAATTCATCATCAGTTTCTCTACTACAGACATCGATAAGGAATTTTGATATTCCAACATTAATTTTCAACAATTCATCTTCAATTTCTCTACCACTGAAGGATTATCATAAATGATTGATTACCTATAGATTCTATATAATTTCATATCAGAACATCGATTTTTAGCAATTCATCATCAAATAATTTTGCTATTACTGAAGGATTATAAGCATGGTTCGATTTTCAACAATTTAATAATTTATCATAAACTTTGCTGTTACATAAGATTATCAACTCATCGGCAATCGGTTTTCAACAATTCATGATAAAAATGGGAATGAGCATGATACTAAACAAAATGGCTAGAATATTACATAAGGAATTTCTAGATTTCAACATTTATTTTCTGCAATTCATCATCAATTCCGAATTAGAATATTACACCATATACTATAATATCACACCTTATAATATAATTTCATAATATTACGCATTAATATCATAATATTATACATAATTTCGTAATATTATACATTAAAATTAGAAAAAAAATGTTAATTATTTGGATTTCCTATAAATCATTCTAGATATTCGCGTTACATTATAAGTTTTAAATTTAGAATATTACATATATATTATTAATTATCTTATATAATATAAGTTTATTTTACACAGTAGAACCTAATTTTAGAATATTACACTTTAATATCATATCACACACAATTTCATAATATTAAATATTAACAATACAATATTAAATGTTGAACATCTAGAATACCTAGAATTATAAGACATCAATGAGTGTTAAAAAAAGCCTAAATTTAGTAAGTCATTATTCTATTAGAATATTTTACATATAACTTAGATTATCGTAGAACACTATGCATATTATTCTAAATGAACAGACAAAGTACAAAAATATTCAATTAGAATATTCTACATATACACATTAATTATGTCTTATTAACATTACATATAAATTTAATGAAATCATAATATTCAGAATAATCAACTTAAAACAATTCACCTTTCGCAAATCAGAGTATTCTAATTACAATATTATACTTCTATTCATGTTAGTACTCAACCTATAACATTATTCTACAATAATATTCTATATGTACATTAGACATGCATATCGTTCTCTTAGAATATTCTACTTCTATACATGTTAGTATCCAAGCTATAACATTATTCTTTATGAATATAACTTATTAAAAGATATCATAATAATTAGAATAATTAAATTAAAAATAAATCATAATAAGTATAATATCAAGTAATTAAATGAAACCAGAATATTCATAATAATCAACTTAAAACAAATTAGCTTTTACAAATTTGAATATTCTAATTGTAATATTATAGTTCTATACATGTTACCAGTCAAACTATAACATTATTTTGTAAAAATATTCGTACATATTTTATTCTTTTAGAATATTCTAATTTTATATATGTTAACAATTAGCCTATAATATTATTATGTAAGAACAATCTATATGTATAGAAAACATGTATATTATTTGTTTTAGAATAATATACATTTAGATTAGAACTAATCATATTTCCAACCATTCTATTAAGCAGTCATCATATTACCAAACATATAATTAAGCAGTCATCATATAATCAACCATACCAACTCATTTACAAAACATTAAGCAATCATTAATATCTAATTTATTCAAAAAACATATAAAAAGAAAACGTTTTCATGTTAGATAACCATATTTCCAAACATTCAAACTTGCAACAATTCTACTTTTCACTCCTTTCCGGTGCATCCCTTCAATTCTTTATTTCATCAACCTACATCAACAAAATCAAAATTACTCACTTGGTCACCATCTTCAGCTTTCAACCCTTTCTGATGTTCCTTGTTTCTGAGTTTCTTTAAATCCAACCCGCTCTTTTTCATTTTCTGGATTACTGGTACTTGAAAACATAGTACCTAAAAATAATTCCAATAATTTTAAACATCATACACTCTAGTTATAAATTTTAGCTTGAATTACGACTTAAATTCTAAACAACACATAAAAATCATTTTTTATAACAAACAACGCATAACATTACCAAGTACACTTCATTACAAAAATGCCCATAAACAAGCCAATGATAACAAAAGCTAAAAACATGGATAAATGGTGAGTAGACATACCATTCCTTTCAATATAAAAGCAAATTCCTTTGCATCATACTTGTTGCTTTTCATTTCTGTGACAAGATGTGTGAAGTTATCAGGGAGCTTTACATCATCTTGGACTTCTACAGAGTTCACTTGATTAAGAAGATTGTAAAGTTCACTAACAAGCCTCTGTTTTGATTAAGAAGATTATGTTACAAACTATCTTAAACAAGTTTAGAACAACAAACATCAATCACTCGTAACATTATCAACTAATTTATTCTACTATAGAGTAATATATATTTTTTTAAACTATTGTACTTATTGTAAAGTATCTTAAGTTAACAGTAAATTTCAAACAATTACAGTAAGCTAAAACATTAATAAGTAAATATTCTTTTATAAAATATCTTAAGTTAACAACAAACATTATCACTTAGAACAACATTATAAGAATCAAAATAAACCTAGTTGCAGCAAATAAATTTTATAAAAAAAACTATAAACCTACCTACAATAAACAAGTTTATTGATAACTTTGACTACAATAAAGTTATATAAGACATTTGGTATCAAAGATTCTGAAATTCTGAAATTGATTGCTAACCCTAGCTACAGTAAGTTGGATCAAATACTAACCATAGGTGTAGTAAACAAGTAAATTACTATAGTGCATAATTTCAAAATAGTGTTTTATAAATCACTATCATATAATATCCAGAATCAGAATCGAAATCAGAATCATAAAAACAAACTAAACGAGATATTAGTGTCATCTAACCTGATTGTTGAACTATATGATCAAAATCGGAATCAAGATATTCAAAATCAGATGTATCCGAGCTTTGATTTATGGTAGAATGAAATTGTGGTTTTCAGAATGAGAATCAAAATCAGTTTCTTCGGGTTATTCATGAGAGATTTGAAACAAAATTTTACTGCGAACGAACTTTGAATTGATGAAATAAAAATGTAATCATGATTTAGAATCTAAATCAAAACACTGAAAATCAAAATGAGAATGAATCATAATCGATTCCTAGGGTTTTTGAAGAAACATTTCATAATCAAAATCGAATTGATTCAATGATTTTAGGAAGAGTAATGTGAAGCAGAATCAAAATGAAAGGAGATCGAATCCAGGTAAGTTCTTCGATCAAGATTGCAGATCAGGAAAAAGGATGGTTTTTAGGGTTTGTCGGAGGGTGAGAGTTTTCTGGTGCGTGAAGAATGAATGAATCTATTTGACTCACGATTGCATATCAATTAAAAACAAAGTTACGATACTAACCCTTCGTGTCTTTCATTAATCCCAAAGTTTAATAGAATTTCAAAAATGCCACCGCCTCTATATTGTTGTAATTTGATTTAATCTCATCCATAGATCATGGTAGATGAATGGTCCTGATTTTGTCCCCATGTCTCACAAAATATCATTGTCTCACATGAACTCAACCCTATATATATATATATATATATATATATATATATATATATATATATATATATATATATATATATACTAACTCTCCGAATTTATTTGATAACCCTAATTTGAAATAGATAGACAGAAAACTGGCTATTACAAAAAATATTTGTAAAAGTTGAAAAATCAGACGTTTCAAACCATTAGACGCGAAATTTAAACACCATTTCTCGGAGTTCTACAACTCAAAAAATTTATCCATTCGGGTTTTTGAAATCCATGAATTAAATCTATCATTTGCTGCCTTCGAAAAAATAACTGACATCGGGAATTGGACACACAAATCGAAATCCATTTTTGTGACATTTTAATGTCACAATACTTTAACACTTAGAGAATTTGATCATATCGGACCACCATGGACCAACCACTCTCTCTTACGTCTCTCTCTCTCTCTATATATATATATATATATATATATATATATATAATATATATAATATATATATATATTATATATATATATATATATATATATATCTTCCCATCTCCCCCTCTCTCACATCTCTCCCCCCCCCCTCTCCCTCTACCTTGGAATTTTGTGAAAGTCAAACTCTTACATTTGAGGTATGTTTAGCAAACCACTTATTATTTGACCAAGAGGTCAAAGACTATAAGGTGAAAGTGACTCAAATCTTTGTTTGAACCTTCTTGGACCATGCACATGTCCACCACATTCACCCTTCAAGGTTTATGATCAATTGGCTATAAAATGGAACCATTGACACCTCTATTTGTCACCAATTCACAGCCATTCTTCCTCACTCTCCTTCTCTATCTCAGTTTAGAAAAAACCACCATTACACCACCACCCCACCACCGTGAATCACCACCAATAACCACCACATCACCACCAAGAACCCAACAACACTTTGCCACTGTTTTGGTTGAGTTCCACCACCACCATCCTTCTGTTTTTCCGTCAACCAGGTTGCCAAACACCCCTCTGAACCTCCCCTTACCATGAACCACCAGAAATCACCACCCACCACATATTGCCGACGAGGAAATCACCCAACATCCACCACTGCCTTGCTGTGCTCCGACCATTGGATCACCACCTTACTCCTCCATCCCCCCACACACACATTCTCTCTCTCTCTCTCTCTCTCTCTCTCTCTCTCTGTCTCTCCCTATCTCTCGTTTTTGCGAAAAAAAGAAAGGTGTAACATCCCAATTTTCAAGACCAAAAATTTTGTTTTTATTTAAATAACTTATAAAACAGTTTATTGAAAACCATCATCGATTCATATCATTTCATAAAACATAGTCACATGTCTCAAACCATATCATAAAATAGTAATAATGTCAGAGTACAATCCCAAGAATGTTATAATGCGGAAATCATGTGTGTGTGTGATGCGCTGCTACCGTACCGACTCCTTCCCCTTCGAAGAAGAGGTACCTGAAAACAAAACTGAAAACTATAAGCACAAAGCTTAGTGAGTTCCCCCATCATACCACATACCATACAAAACAAATACCGTCTAACATATATGGGTATTGACCACCCCTTCGGTCTCTTTCAACCGGTAGCTTTGCCTAGCATATTAGGGTGCTGGCCTACCCCTTCGGTCTTGTCGAACGGTACCTAGCCTAGCATATCAGGGTGCTGGCCTACCCCTTCGGTCCTACCGACCGGTACCGGGGACTATTTCACCCCCTACTTCTACCACATAACATCTTAGTGCGTAACATATAAATCATATACTGCCTAGCTTAATCGGGCGCTGGCTTACCCCTTCGGCCCTTTCGACCGGTACTAGGGTCTATCCTACCCTTTCTACCATTATCACATATCATCATAGCATACCAAGACATAACATAACATACCAGATAACTATCACAAAGACAATCATCTAACAACATCTCCTACTAGTGGGCCGACATTGTAGCCTTAGAACCACTTCTACTGGAAGGTAACTCACCTCAATGTCGTGAAGTGTCTGAACTGTCATCGATTCTGGGATCAACTCCTCTCAAACTCCTACACATAACAACCTTCCTTAATTACCATTTCATACTCTTAACCCTTTCAAGGGTCAACTTAGGTCAAAGTCAAAGTCAAGGTCAACACCCTGGTCGAAGTCAACTTTTGGTCAAAGTCAACATCTGGTTGACTCAACTCGCCGAGTTGGTCCACCAACTCGTCGAGTTCCATAATCCACAAAATGCTAGAACTTAGATCTTACTCGTCGAGTCTTTCAAGAACTCGTCGAGTTCTCCTTCATACAGAATCATGACCTTTTTGCTCTTGACTCGCCGAGCTCGTCCATGAACTCGTCGAGTCCTTCTTCATACGAGTTGAAGTGTTTAGCCCTTGACTCGCCGAGTTCTTCTTCATATGAGTTGGGACATTGCCTTGAACTCGTTGAGTTCTTTGATCTTCAAGTCCATATTCACGTCCATCTTGTTGAGTCCTCTTCTAGACTTAACCAGATCGATCAAAAACAGAAAAGGTTGGGGAACCATGACCCGACTCGCTGAGTCCTATGAACGACTTGCCAACTCCCCCAAAGTCGAAGTCTACCAAGTCGATTTTCAGTCAGGCTTAATGCATCCAGAACATAAATCTGACCTCCTAGGATTGATATAGAATGTGAAGTTACAAACTTTACGTGCATGCATGGGTTAAATAGCTCATAAGGACCCAAAATGAAATCTACAAAGTGCATGGGACTCCCATGGACATAGAGTTGGCACCTTTATGCCATGGGAACCCTTAAAGGTTCAAGATCTGAAGTATAACCCCATTGATACACACAATCCCGAATATGGCTTCACTAAGACTTAGAAAAGGTTAAAAATAGCCCTAAATGGAGATCTAAGAAAAGAATAGTTAAGGTATCAGCTTTATACCTCAAATAAGCTGGGAATGTGCCAAAACCTCTGGATCTACTTGCTTTCTCTTGATCTCCCAAGCTTCCTTCTTCTTCTCAAGCTTCAAATACACACAAATGGCACAAAAAGCTCAAGAACACTCAATATTCGATTAGGGTTTCATGAAGAGAGTCCGAGGGTGATGGAGGCTTGAGTGGAGACCCTATAAGTTGTTTAAATAGGGTGCAAACACTCAAATTTAGGGTTTCATCCAAACAGGTCTACTTGTCGAGTTAGGTCTTCCGACTCAGCGAATGGACACTTCTGCCAGCGTCCAACATTCGCATCTACTCGATGAGTTGGGCCTCCAACTCGTCGAGTCCCTGTGTAAAAATGCAAGAACTTATAATAAAAATACGTACCGGGAACCGGGAATTACAAAAGGAACGAAGGCAGTGATGTTGTCATCGCCACCCCACTGCCGCCATGGTCAACCTACCGCCACCACCGAGTTGCTGATGTTGAGTTACTCCTACCATCACCTGCCACGGTTGTTGGAAATCAGGCCCTCTCTACTGCTATAAGTATGCACACAAACGAAATAGAGAAATATAGGAAGGAAAAAGTATCTGCAAAAGTTACTCTTGTTATTCCTCATGCAAATAAAAAACTCCGACTACAAGGCTATAAATATGTAACATCCTGTTTTGGATTGGCCGTGATTAGGGTTCGTGGGTTGCAAACCGGGCATGAGGAGGTCTCGGGGTTGCGACGAGTTGCTAGAAGCTTACGGCATCTCGTCACCTTTCTGTGGGTTTGAGGTTCATGGGAATCAAGGTTATATTGAGGAAGCGATGGAAGTTTGAAGTTGTGGCAGGATAAGTCCCTTATTGGAGAAAGGTTGCAGCTGAGTACCCTGGGCGTACATATGTGTACGCTTAGCATACTTATGTGCGTTATTTTCAAGCGGAGCCACCTACTATGCTGGGCGTACTAGGCCCAGAGTGAAAACCCTAATTTTGGGTGAGTCCCCTATATAAAGGATATGATGGCCTCATTTCTTGCCACCATTCTCAGACATCAAACCCTAAGTGTGCCCTAACCCTCATTTTAGAGCTTGTGAGTGCATTTGTGAGCCTTTGAGAGTGTTTGTGTGTTCTTGAAGAGAAGAGAAAGCTTTGGAGAAGAAGGAGTGGGAGTCCAAGCTCTTGGATCTGATCAAATCTGAGTTGGGAGCTTCATATAGAGGTATAAAGCTTCAAACTTTACCACTCTTTTGTTATGTGCATCATAGATGAGACTTTTAGGGTTTTGTCCCAAAAAGGTGGAGACTTTATGAGATATTGAGTTCCAGAGACTAGGACCAACCCCTTTTGAGTATATTAGTGGTGTAATGTCATAAAAATCCAATCTTGGTCGTTGGAATGAAGCCATGCATGTGTTATGAGCTTTTTGAGATAAGGGAGTGAGTGTTTTGGGTGTTTGTGACCTTTCCAGCCATGCAAAGGCTTAAAGTCACTCACTTTATGGAGTAAAAGCCATTAGGGAGTCCAGATCTGGGATTTGAGTTAATGTCTTAACTGATTAAGACCAAAGGAGTAGAAAGTGTGAATCTGGGAAGTACGCTGAGCGTAATTCCTGTACGCCCCGCGTACTGCCCCAGTGTCCCCGATGGCCAAATCTGGATTGTGAGTACGCTGAGCGTACCAAGGGAGGTACGCCCCACGTAACCTCACTTTGGACTTTTGGGCTAAGTCTCATTTTGGGCCTTGAGTGTTGGGCATAGAGTTTAGGCTTGTTGCAATAGAGTATTGGACCATAGAAATATATATATATTCATGCTTGAGCCCTTAAGTTGGGCTTGCCTTTTAGTTTTGAGAGTGGGCCTCGGGTGAGCCCATTTATTATTGGGCCTTGGTGGGCCCAATGGGTTTTAGGCTATTAATGGGCTGGTTAATGATCTACCCTTAGACCTAATGAGTGAGAGTTTGGACTTAGTTCCTAATTGGGTTAATTGTGGGGTTGGCTCAGAGTTAGAGGCCGATGCGCAACATCAGCGTTTTTAGGGGCTGTTCTTCATCCGAGGTGAGTCTTCTCACTATACTTACCATGAGTGGTATCCTTGTGTGACTGAGATGTCTTATGTGCTTATTTGTGTGCTGTGATATTATGCATTATGTCTCTGTGATTTATGCTGAGTATTATTATTATGAGCTTATTGAGTTAGGACCGGAGGGTCCACCTGAGTTCTGGGACCGGAGGGTCCCACTGAGACACATTGACCGGAGGGTCTTATCTGAGTATAGCCATGAGAGGCTACTGAGATGTGTGTGGTATTTTAGGGAACTCACTAAGCTTCGTGATTACCATGTTATGTGTTATGTGTTTCAGGTTTTTCTCAGGATCGCGGGAAGGCACCGACTCGATTGTACACACCAGAGAAAGAGTTATGTTTTGAGGATCCCTGTTTATTAATCAAACAATTATGGAGATGCTTTTTGTAAACTAAATAAATTAGACTTTGTGAAATACGTTATGAGAATTATATGATTTTAAAATGAAAAAATTTGTTTGGAAATTTACGGTGTTACAAGTTGGTATCAGAGCCTTGGTTTGAGGGATTCGGATGCACCTTCGGGTATATTTGGACTCAACTGAGGATTTGAGAAAAGTTTTCAAAAGAAATGATTTTTCTAAAACGAGCAAGAGTTTCTAAGAGAAAAACGAGAAAGAGCAGTGTGTCCAATCAGCCAGGGCCCGAACGGTGATTTCCCAAAATACCCTTACTTATTTGTGATATAAGTTAGTATTGAGATATTAGTGATGCATGCTAGAAGATAGGCTAGGTATTTCATATTCTAGGGCTAGAGTTGCCTGATTTGTGATGCCTTAGCCTAGGAATTTTGCTATCTTTGATGTGCTTCGAGTATGTGTTGAGTAAGAGTATCCAGCAGGAATCTTTTTGAGAGAACTTTGAGTAGAAGAGTAATCTAGGTGAGATACCTAGATCAGTATTGGAGGAGCCTACTGAGAGAGTAGTTAAATATCTGTGAGGGGTAAAGTTGCTTGAGTTCAGTGATACCTTTGAGAGTAAGTGGAGTGGTAACCTAGAGTGGTTTTATGTGTTTGTAGAGATTATTCGATG